GGGAAAAAAAGAAAAAAAWTATTTAGGGGTGGTGGTGGGGAATGCAGAGTATGGAGTGAGAGGTACCATCTTGGTTGTTTTAAATGGAGCATAATCAGAGCTTTGGTTTCAGTGGGTGTGCATGTATCATTTCACACTTTGAATGAGCTTGAATTTTATTTTTATTTCCTTTGCAMCAAGCATCCACTCAGGGTAAGAGGGAGTTTCTCTCATTACAGGTAAAAAAACAACCTAAACACCCTAAATTTCTCCCTGGTCTTGAAATACCGTGTCATGTCAAGCTGTTATACCTTGTGTGTGGGTTTTATGGGTGCTGCTGAATGTTAGATTTGGGGCTTGGATTTTCTCTGCTGCGTCTTGTTTTTTAATTTCAATCTGCACCCCATCCCCTCCTGCATATCCCTCATTTTGGGGCTTATTTTAGCTTAGCTCTAGAAAAAGAAGAGTTTGAGACTGTAAACCTTCAGTGCTGATGTCCTGAGATGCTTTAGTCAAAGCATATTTTAGATACTGCCCTTTACTATTCCGATGGTAACAGCAATATTCCAGTGTGGCTCCTGGAGYGGATGTTTTGTTCCCTGAGATTGAGCACAGCTCCCCAGGGCATTGTGAGGAAGATGCTTTTGAAGGTGTGAGAAGGAAAACAATTTCTTGCTTCTTTTATACCTTGGAAGCAGCTGGCTCAGGTGTGGAACTGCAAGGAGCTCTCCCCAGCTAAACCCCAAAGATTCCTTTCTGGGTGGTTTTTGCTAACACAAAACCTAGCCCAGGATTACAGAGAGCTTTAGGGACACTGGAGCCAAACTTAAATTGAATCTAGATATTACCTTTTTATTTTGTTTGTTTTATCTGGAACACTTCTGCAGACCTTAGGTGCTGCATGTTTCCAATCTCCATCTGGTATTTGCTTGGAATCTTTGGGTCTGCTGGAATCCGGAGCCAGAAAGGTTCACACAAAGTGTTGTGACCCAAAACTGTTTAATCTCAGATCTGCAGCCTCAGCCTGACTCCAGCACCTGATGAGCATCAGCTGAGCAAGCATTGAGCATCTGACTTTGCCCATGAACCAGAAACCTTCTCCTTGGGGAACAGAGGGGTAAATTGGCCTTTGTGCAGGAACAGCCAGCTCAGCCAGGGCCACAGTTTCTTTGTGCTCAATACCAGACCCTACAGTGCTCTGCTGCAAAGTTCTCCTTCCCTTCCTTCTAAGTGAAGCCATATGGAAAAAAAAAAAAAATCTACTTTTTGAGCATGGCTGAACCAACCAATTTGTTAAAGCCATTCTTCTGGCTGATTCATTTTTAACTGAAAAAAACACTGAGATATTGGAAGCATCTTGAAAAATGCCAAAAGGGAAGAAGGGGAAACAAGATAAACCATTTGAAGCTCATAAAAGGAAAAAAAAAGAATTTAAGTGCAACCACATGAGTGGTGTAAAATTGGTGTAATACTCAATCCCATGTTAGAGCACAATGTGTTAGATATGAGTTCCTCTAGAAAATAAGGCCCTAAAAGTAATCTTAATATTTATGATTGAGAGTTCACAACATGCTCAGCTCAATGTGTCATGCTTGCAAGGGAAAAAACCCTCTGGTTTAAAGATCCACTAAGACAGGTCTTCATTGCACTTGGCCAAGGTTTTTACTTGAATGCTGTTCCCAACTACTTCTTTGGATCAATGTAACAAAAAACCAAAAAAAGTTCTCAAGAGTCTCAACAGCACATGGCTGGAAGGGAGAGATGGACCCAGATTTATGGAACATGACTGTATAAATGTTCTCAGTGGAAAAGGATGATTTGTGGGAGAAAGGTGAGGGAAGGGCACACATTGGTGCCACAAGTTCCTGGGTAAAATGTGCTTCACTRGCATAACATTTAAAAAGGCATTGGCATTCAGAGAGGTTTTGCTGGGCTCTCGTCCTTGCTGACATTTCAAGCTCACTTTGTCCTCAACAAACATTGGTTTTACCTCATGCCCAAGAGTGATTTGCCCAGGCAGAAGGTGGATAAACTTCTGAAGGGATGGCAGGCACCARCACAGCCTCCCAGCCATGGGAACGTGGGTCAAGGACCAGATTTGGTGGAACTATGAGGGCTAAAAAGAACCAAACACACACAGTGCCATAGGCCTGTTCCCCTGGCATTGATGAATTATGGTGCTTGTTGAGCAGCCCAATTAGCAATGGGTAAATTAGTTCAAACAAAGGTTATTTACTCTGGACAAGTACATGGGTTTGGCTTTTGACAACATTTTACGTGAACTACAAGGTGGCGTTATTTTTAATATTTCATTTACTTGGGTGACATGGCTGCAGCACAGCAGTTGTGAGTCTGTTTACTGTGAACTTTTTACCTTGTTTCTGAGGAGCTATTCTTCAGATACATCCATCATCTCTTCCTCATAATATTTTCAAATAGCAATGTATTTCATTCTCTTTCTTTGTCTTTGGGTTACTAAATCTATCATCTTACTGGGAAACTTACRCTATTGTCAGTAATTGCATATTATGCCCTGGATTAAGGCTGTTTAGCTTGAACGTGACAAGTTGTTTAAAAATAGACTGTTATGCTTTGTGTTCGTTCTCCTCTCCAAAACTCTCTTTCATAACAATGTAAATAAAGGACTCCCAGGACTGATACAGCGGGGCTGGCACAGTTRGAAGAAAAGACTCGCCTATTGCCCAATTTACTTTAATGCAACATAAATCTTAATTATATTGAACAAGCATCAGGCTGTGAGGTCTTGGGAGATGGAGTCATTAGGTAACAGTTTACAGGGAACATTTATCTCCAAGAAAATTCCCAGGCCTCCTTAATTTCCTTTGTAGTTTCTTAAAGGGGTTGAAAACAAGAGGTGTAAGGTAGATGAGCTTTKTGCCCAGTTCATTAAGCAGAATCCAAACTAGAGCCTCCAGAATAGGCTAGAAATTGCTAAAATAATAAATTCCTATTGTGCAGACCATAGATTTTATAAGATCTGCAGAGTCTGAGGTTGCAGATGGCATTAATGACTCCTGGGCTGCTCTCCTGTGGGAGCTGCGAGGTCTCTGCCCTGCTCACCCCCATCTGCATCACAGGATTGACACTTGCAGCTCTTGCCCAAAGTAAATACTGGGTTTGATATTTTTCTTTTCAATCCCCACTGATATTTTSTCTCCTTAGAGACATTTCCTAACCCAGCTACTGAACGGCAGCAGAATTCTAAASGTGGTTTCCAATATGCTATTTTTTTCCCTACCAAATTGCTTTCAGATAAAAGCCAGTAAAACAGATGAAAATGGATTTTTAAGTTTTTCCTCTCTCAGTTTTGGTTTATCTCACACTTGCCACAAGGAATATCTTTAAAATATATTTGTAATTTTGTGTGCTGCACCCACTCTACAGATTTCCTGTGAGGCTGGAGGGAAAGAATTTTAAGATCACAAAATGGTTTGGGTTGGATGGGTCCATTAAAGAACATCATTTAAAGTCCAATCCCCCTGCAATGAGCAGGGACACCTCCARTTAGATCAGATCAGTCAAAGCTCCATCCAATCTTTGAGTGTTTCCAGGGATGGGGTATCTACCATCTCACTGGACAGCCTGTGTTGGTGTAGACAAGAATCGCTTTTTCCATTGTGGCATGAAATATTAAGAAATACCTTAAACTTAAAAAAAATATTAATAATTAGTATTAATTTCCCTTTTTATACAGAATTTTTGGTTTCTTTCAGATTTCTTGCATTCTCAGCTGAATGGCTCCAGCCTGAGCTTTCCATGGGAGCTCTGTGCATTCACCCTTTGATATCAACCCTCCTTTCAGCTGCCTAAAAGCATCACTGCCAGCTCATTACCTGCWTCTTTAAACACTCATCCTCCCTCTCCTACACCTTCATTAGGACATCTCCTCCTTCCCAGGAAGAACCCTGTGCTTTCCACCTGCCACCAGCAGAAGGGGTAAAGCAAAATGCTCACTGAGAGAGCCACTTCAGATTAAACAGACCCAGGGGGAGTCAGGGGAAAAGCAGGGAAGGATTTAGCAAGGCTGGTTGTTAAAGCAGCCCCTGTACCCCAGGGCTGCTGGGGGTCACACTCCCAAAATCAGTGGTGCAGGTAGAGGGACTTTAATTGCTCAGTACGGATGGTCTCCAGGGTTGAAAAAGGGGCTTCATCAGATCTGTGGTCCCTCTGCAAAGCAGCTTGACTTGGGGATGGAGGGAGCAAACCTTTTTCCTGGCTGTAATGTGCTTTCAAGGATTAGAGGCTGAAAATGTTTGTTTGTTGGTTTTTTTTTCTCTTCCCCATAGAAACTTGTGAGGAAGTCACAACTGGCATTTCTTACCAATCCTTGCAAGGGGTTCTGTCTGCAGGTTGCCAATCCCACAACGAGGGAGCAAATGGGATTTGGGGCTCCCACTGGAGCTCTGTGGTGGGCTGGGGAGGGGGAGTGCTGGACAGTGCACCCAGACTTCAAAGAGGAGAGCTCCAGGCTGTGGCTGAAATTCTGGAGATGCAGTTGCAYGTTTGAGCACAGAAATGTTTATGCRACAGGGAAAGTTCTGATAGGAGCATAGAAATATTTAATGATCTTTGTTTATCATCCTTTTCCAGTAGAAAGGAGAGGGATCAGTGTTGTTTCACAGATAAAAAGCAAATATTGTGATTTTCAAGGCTGTAGCAGCACACAGGGACTGAGCAGCAATGCCACCCACCCAGCAAAGGCTTTTTTTCCAGAATTTTGGAGCGTGCTAGACCTGGGGTTCTCTACTATGTCAGCAACACTTACAACTTCAAAACCTGCTTCCCAGCTTGCCTAGGAGCCTGATCTTGGGGGTTTTTCCACCAAAATTACGTTGTGGGAAAAAGTGGTATTTAAGATGTGCAGCTTACTAGTTTTTTTTGGTATTTGGGAAAGGTGGGAAGGCATGAGGTGGGTGCAAAGGGAAGGACACGTGGTGGAGACTCTCCTGAACTTGCTGTTTTTGGGGCATCACCAACTCTGTGCTCTCTGCTTCCCACAGGGCCCCCGGGGCGGCGAGGGAAGCCCGGCCGGCGCGGAGAACCCGGTAAGCATCGATGGCACCCAGAGCTCTGGGGGACACGGGGGGTGTGGGACACTTTGGGTAGTGGCACCTGTCACCTCCATCAACAGGCTGTGCAGCAGGGGCTTCCTACGTCCTTCGTGCTGGATGTGAAGGGTTTTATTGAAAATCAAAAATAACCGAACAAAAACAGCCCCCCTGAACTGGAAAACCCAAAAGCAAACAAAAAAAAAAAATGAAAAGAAAGAAACAACCAACCAACCAAAACAAATCCCACTTGAACAAGCAAATCTCACTCAAACACCCAATGCTGTTTTGTATTTGTTCCATTCCTTTATTCTTCCTTTGGAGAATTCAGCTCCATCCCTGCCTCCTCCAGCACTGGAGAGGGACAGGGAATCAGCACAGAAATAGAGAATCCCCCAGCCCTGTTAGATGGGAGGTGTTCATGTGTCCCTGCATCACCTGCCAGCCTCAGGGTGGTGGTGTCTGCATTTGGGAGCCAGGGATACCCAAACCTCAGCCTTCCTGGGCATCAGTGTGCCCTCAGCCTGGGGAAAGTACAGAGCAGCCTTGCTGGGGGTTTTCTCTTGCTGGCTGTAATTCTGTGTTTGTGTCACTCAGGTGTATCTGGTGAGGTTTGGGGCTCCTGTCCCTGTCTTTGAGAAAGCACAAACCCTGTTTCAGCTGGGCAGAAGTGCTGTTTGCATTCTGCTTTTGGATCTGAGTGCTGCTGGAGAAGGGACAGATGCAGCTGCTGTTGCTCTTTCTGAGGAAAACAGAAAGGGATATGCTCAGAAAGCCACAGGGTTTTTGGGATTGTACCAGAAAGCAGAATATCAGATTTTACCTGTCTCAGCTCTTGGGTTGTTGAGCATTGAGTGAATGAACAGAAGCCAGGCAGATTTTGATTTAGTGAGAAGGCTGTTCTTTGGTGCCTCTCACTAAGGAAAATTCACAACTGGGAATTTTAGAAGGCGAACATCGCTTTCGCATCACCAGTGTTTTAAACACTTTTTTAACTCTGAGGAAAGGAAATTGAGGGGATGTGTGCTGCACATCAGCAGCAGCACATGGACTGATGGACAAGAAAGGCAGGCAGGCATTTCAGAGTACAGTCAGTGTTTTCTGAGATATTTTTGTTCCTGAAGCATCAGGGATTCACTCCTGGCCCAGGAATAGGTGCTGATGGGGTGGTGGTGGATCCCAGCCAGCTTTGTTAATTTGTTTCATTTTCCCAGAAGTTGGGGCTGTAGGAATGGCCCTCAGACAGCTTTGATTCTTTTTTTTTTTTTTTTTTTTTTTTTTTTTTTTTTTTGGTTGTTTTTCAACTCTCACCCAAGGGCTTTAAGGAGCACAGTGGAATACAGCATCCAAGCAAGGGCAGCTGGGGAGGTCAGCCAATGGATCTGATTTTATATGCAGGCATTCATGTAAATGCTGTGCAAGATGTGTCTCTGGCCCATACAAAAATCTGGGAGGTGGCTCTGAGCCCTTCAATCTCCTCTCCTTGCTTCAAGCAAAGCTTTTGCAAAGCACCGTTTGCCCTCGTGCTGTGACACATTTGCAAATGCCACTTGAGCATCCCTCTGATGGAACAGAAAGCTGCCAGAGAATTGGTGCAGAGCCAGCAAGAAAACAAGCATTATATATATAAAAAAAAATATTGATTTAAAAAAGTTCAAAAACCTTAGTAATAACTTTTTTGAATTTTCTGTGATTGTGGAGGAGAACAGAGAAGAGTGCAKCAGCCACAGGGTGAGGCTGGAAGGGGCAGAGCAGTGAAATGCCAGGAATGCAGCTCAGAGCCTGTGGATTGCCCCAGTGCAGATAGAGACACCCAGGGAGCAGCCATCCCGCTGTGTATTGCTCTTGGCCGCGCTGCCAYGTGTTTGTTTTTCCAGATAACTTGAATATATATTTCTATATTTGTTTGAGAAGCTGACCACACATAAACCAGGTCCTTGTTCCTTYGCTACAGCTGATAAATGCAAATAGAACTTTGTTTGTGTAGCACGCTGGTGTCCATCCCTGGGGACCCTGCCTGCTTTGGGCTTCACAGCCTCCAGACAAAGGCTGCTGGAGAGCCAGGAGGCTCAGCCCTGCCAAGGGAAGTGTTTTTCTCTGGCATTTGTTGAAATGGTCATGSTGAAAAGCTTTTTTGGATTCATATTGAAACTTTCAGTGTGTATCTCTAAGAAACAAGCAGAGAAACTATTAAGAGATACTCCTGTCCCTTCTAATCAAACCCCCCTGTTGATTTAAACCAAGACTGAATTTTGCTTTTTTCTTCTGCCATGATGGATTCAGATAACATAAATTAATCCAACAGCTCTGTTTCTCTAAACTAAGAATTCATCATCACGAAAACACATTGGGGCAGCAGCTCTCTTCCACAGACATATGCCACACTAGAAAAAGATTAATATTTAAACCATTTCTGGAGAAAAAAAAAATTAGCTGTTTAGACTGTTTGGAAGTGGGACAAACCTGGCTGCACATGCTCCAAAAAACACTGAAACTGTGGGGGTCACACGCCTAGGGCAGGCAGTGGGTCCTGCTGGGGCCCTGCCTTGGGGCTTGSTGGTTTATTTTGCTGCAGAGAAGCATAAAAGCAACGAGTTTTCCCCCTGGGGAAYCCTGGAGGGCAGAGAGGGCTGCACTAAACCCMAGCYCTTCCTTTGGGCTTCACATCTCTGRTGGCAGCTTGAGCTTCCCACGGTGGCACGACTGTCCCCGCTGTCATCCTGCGCTGACCTCGGACACAAGGATCAAGGACCTGGGGASTGTTTCTGCCACCATCAGCCCAGCTGAACAAACCAGGGGGTAATTGGCTCAAAAGGCTCCGTCCAACCCATTTTATTTGCTCTSTCCATCACCTGGCCCTGAGGGAATCACTGCTGCAGCATCAGAGTAGGGATGGAGTGGCTGCAGGGACAGTCACCTGTGTGCTCCTACTGGAAAAGGTGTTACTTTTAAAAAACAATTTATCCAGTCTTCCTGCCAGGAGGCCGGGAAATTCACACCAGCAGCCTGTCTGGGAGGTGTCACTTTGGCTGTTTGGTGTGGTCCAGCCTGTCCTGAGCTCCATTCCATCCTCCCAGGGCAGTCACAAGGCTTCCAACACCCTCATTCCTGCCCATGAGCAGCAGCAGCTCCTTTCCCAGCTGGAAAGAAAGCACAGCCTTGAAAACCTGTGTTCACCCATCCTTGGGAGAGGCATTTAAAAAGAAAAAACACATTTTAATACAATTCCATGTGGGATTTTCAACCTTCTCTGACTGTGGGGTGGAAGAAARGTTTTGCAGCACTCGCTGTCACGGTTGGTCCTGACAGCCAGCCTGCTCATCTCAGATACAGTTCTTTTTCCTTGCCAAAGGCAAAATCAGGTTTAATGTCATGTTAGCTTATTTTTTCAATGTGATATGTCCCAGTGAGGACACAGTTCAACCATCAGAGTGAGGGTTTGTGAAATTACACGGATTTTTGCCAGGGATCTGGGAGGTTTTGCTTCSCCTCTTGCTGCCAGCTGGTGCTGCGTGAGTGGGATGGGGTACGGATGCACAGCCCTCCCAGGGCTTTGTGTTTATTTTTTTTTTTAATTGATCCATGCCAGGGTGTTCCTGAAGGATGGATTAATAGGATCCAGGATTTGGGAGCTTTGTTTAAGTACTGGTTCAAAGTCTTTGCACAACTTGATGATGGGAGATGATGTCCCTGTCTCTCCTAATACCACTCTGCTTTCTTCCCCTGGCTTGAAGATTAGTCCAAAAACTCATCTGAAGCTCAAAATCCCTCAAGATAAACCAGGAGAAAATCCCCATGAAATGTTCAGTTTGGGAAATCTCTGAGTAAGGCTCAGCTCTCCTCACACGGAGCAAGAGCTGCCTGCAGACATTGACCCCCAAAGCTGATGGCTGAGATGGTGTTGGGGAGCACCTGTTTGCATCAGCTCCAGCCCAGGGGGATAAATATTGGCTGTTTTAGGCACAAAATTGCCTTTACAGGTGGGCCTGAGAGGGCATTTTTTTGATGAAGCGTCGTTTCATTGGAAAATCCTGACTCGGCATAATTTCTGTTTCTGGCAGAAAAGGTTTTGTTTACAAAATGTTTTCATTTCAAAAGCAGTTTTTGGGGAAATGTGTTGAAATTGTTGAATTGGGATAAAAGTCTTCTGCCTACCACCCATGACTTTTTCTTTCCAAATTTACACTATGCTACGAGTGTTGCCATAACTTGAACTTCTAAAAATTTTTTCTTCAAAGGGTTTTTTTTTTGTTTGGGTGGGCTTTTTTCTTACAACTATTCTGTTTATGCAAATATCCTGATTTGGAGCAAGAAAGAATCTGAAGTTTTTTTAAAAGGGAAAAACCCCAATGTGACGTCTATGCAGGGAAATGTTATTTTTCTCCCAGCCCTACACATACTTAAAATCCTGTATTTTACATATCAAGATTTACACTTTCAAATCTACTGGCCATGTGATTGAGTGGACAAGTGTAAATATGCAGTTGTTATTCACGTGTGGCTGCATGTAGGTAAATCACAGAAAACTGAATTTATTTTATTTGGATTTTCACTGCTCCCCATATTTTTCACTATGAACAACCTGTGCCAACCTCATACYCAAGGACTTCTTTTTCTTCTGAACTCCAGGAAAACATCTAATCTGTCCCAAATTTGCTGTCAGTAATGAGCCTCTGCTAGGAGAGCACATTCCCTGTGTGCCCCAGCACTGAGGCATAGGGAGGAGTTAAAGGTCAACACACAGTGAGAAATAGGTTTTTTTTCCCAGATTTTGTGACTTCTTATGACTGTAGCAGTTGTTCTCCTTTGTTACTCATGCCTCAGTTATTCCCCTTATATCATCCTGAATTATTGACTCTATGTGCATGTATGCACATATTGTGTGTTTAAATACACATAACCATGTATTAATATGGATTTTTTTTTTAATTATATTTTTTTACATCTTCATATGGCCACAGATATGTGTTTGCCACCTTAGGGATGGATTATTTACTCTTTAGAGCTGCAACAAAGTCCCCTCTGACTCCTCCTGAGCTGTTGGAAAGCTCTGGCTGGTTTTGTTTCCCCTGCCTGGCTCTCTCCTCTCATGGTGGGAGAGTTTGCATGATAAATGATTTGCAGATTTAACAGAAACATCATCTTATCCCAAAACTTCCAAGCTGAAAAAATACTTGGGAATAAATGCCTGTGACCTGTCATTTCCCATATGTTTGTGTACTGCTGGGGATGATGCCACTGTGACCCTCTAGGGTTTGGATATACAAAACAACATTAATGTTGGTCAATCAGGAAATCTGGCTCATTAATTTTTAATGAGTTTAGATTTTCACCTCCTGCTAGCACAGCTGCCCATGTTCTTAAGGAATCCTTTGGTGTTTCCAAATATCTCCGTGCCTTTGCAGACTTGATACGAGGTGTTCACCCCTGGTTGTAGCAGCATCATCCCTGTTCAGGGTAAATCAATCACATTGCACTGCATTTGCAGATTATTATTTTCTTTCTCCTTTTCCTCCTAAAATCAGCCCCCCAGTTAATTTGTTACAKAGTTTTAAGTCCACAAAGGCTCTTTCCAAGTTTTATTTGTTAGAAAAAGTATTTTCAACTTGTTTATTCTTTATTTCAACCTTTCAAACTGATTCTCACTAGTCAAAATTATTAGCAGTAAATTCTGACACTCTTTTCAAAGAAACTTGCATCTCTTGTGCAATGAGCCCACAGTGATGAGATGGCTAGATCAGGGGCAGCTCCTGGGTACCAGATCAACTTCTTTATTTATTGTTGAACTGCAAAATATTAGATTTTCTTCCATAGGAAACAAGTGTCTTGTGGCCAGGCTGTTGAGAAAATATGGTCAGCAAACCAAAAAGTGATGTTGTGCCTAAGAGGAGAAAAGATCAACAGGTTTAACTTTGTGCCTTAATGAAGATTTATCTAGCTTTAATTGTCCAACGGTGAAAGATTGGTGTTACTCCACTGAAGGGGCTGGAGAACACCCAAAGGTGCATTTTCAGACACCCCCATTCCACTCTGATTTTTGGATTTAGGAGAAGAAAACACTTTAAAAGTGCTCTTGCCTGCACGTGTTGGGGGGAAAAGCAGTAGCTGCGAAAAGGAAAGCAGGCAACAAATTCCRAAGAGATTATAATTGGTACATGATTGAAATCCCATATTAAAATAATTTCCTGCCCRCTTCTCGAGACTTAGTCTTGACTTTTCCACAAAAGGGCTTTTGTGGGTAGCCTGGTGTAAGTGAGTTAATAAATCAGGTTTATGATTCTCAGTTAATAAACTGGCACAGAGCCACTGRCTTCTGTATTCAGAAGGAATTAAACCAAGGAGAGCCAGTTAAATCTTCTGGTCTGGGGGGAGCTGTGAAGTTGTCCCTGCCCAGGTGTGGCTCTGGGCTGTGTTTGTGTGACTCTGACCCCCTTCAGGTGACAGACACACACCAGTGGGGTGGCTCTTGGTGCACTGCCAGCCATTTCTTGCTGCCACTCCTCATCCTTAGGCTTTTCTTATTTGTTGTTKTTTTTTTTGTTGTTGTTGTTGTTTTTAATTCAACTTAGCGATGTTTTTAATTTTAAAACAATTTTTAAAAATCCTTGAAAAGGTCTTCGCTTGAAATACGCTTCTTGAATAATATTGTTTAATATAAGATGAACAAAGCTCTTTTCTTTTTCTCCTCCATTTTAAGCTTTCCCACATTTTTTTTTGTCTTTTCTAATTGTGCCTAGTTTCTGGTTTTGATCAGGCAAGAATCAGAGCATGAAGAATTCCCAAACTGGTGAACTCGAGTGTGATGTGGATTGCTCTGGGTTAGGTTCACCTCAATGTGGCACCAGTTTGGGCAAGCATTGGGAAAGCTGCAGGGTGTGGCTGGAGAGCACCCTGCTCTGCTGGGGGWTGTGGGGGATGTTCTTTTCTCTGCCCCTGGCACCCAAAGCCCAACGTGGATGTGATGGGTGTGCCCCTGGATGCAGGCACTGTGCATCAGCTGTCCCTGGACACCAGCAGGGCCTCAGGGGGTGACACAGGGCTGTGGGGTCGTGGGACACGTTCTGGGGTCAGGGAGGGATGGGGACCATCCCACAGCAGCGTTTGGGGTCTGTGGAAGCTGCAGCAGTGTCTTTGGAAGGTTCCCACTGCACTGCTCCTCTGGCTTTTGTGAGCTTGCTTCTGCTGCTCTTGCATTACCTGAAGGATAAATAAGGTCCGTGGTGAAAATACAGTTTTTTCTCCTAAAAATTGGCACATTTTTCTGGCCATGTCTGTCTGCTTTTTSCTGGCACTGCTGTGTACCATAGGTGATCCCCACCCTGAACTGCCTTGTGAGATGCTCAGGGTTGTGTGGGGGAGAGGGAACAGAATCCTACTGTRGAAAAGATGGGAAAAGTGTGTTTTTACACCATCAGCACTGCTGTGCCTGCAGCACAGGTGAGATGGTCCTGCAGCAGGAGGATGCAGATGGTGCTRAGTGTATCTGGAAAGTCATCACATGGGCATTGGACTGAAAAGCCCCAAATCACTCTGATGTTGTTTCCTGCAATATGTTATTTTAACAGATTATGCTTTTCTCTTTGTAATTGACTCTTTTTCTCTTTTGTTTTTCTTTTGTTTTCCAGGACCTGCAGTAAGTATCGTGGATTTTACTGTTGGATCAACAAAGTTAAGGCTTCCCCTTCCCCTGCCTTTCAGTGTCCTTGCAAAAGCAAAGCATTTTTTGGTAGAGGTGTGTCTGGAAACAAAATCGGTACCAGATGCTGCTGTGTGTTTTTTTCATGATTGTAGACAAATGGGGGGGGGGAGAATTTTAAAATGTTTAAATCGCTGCCCTAAGGGACTTCCAGTAATTTTAAACTCAGAAAATATTCAGTGAAAAAGAGTTTCCCTTTAAAGAGTTCTTTAGTCTGCCTCTATTTACAGAAAGAGTGCTGTACTAATACTTTAACATGTTAGTGGGTTTATTGGTTCTAAAGCTCTGTCTTGCTTTTCTTATCTGTCGTGTTTCCAGCATTTAATATGGGTTTGGTCACCTCACAAGGGGGGCTAGAGGGAAAACCATAGCTTGCTTGCTTCTTTCTTTGAAGTCTTGGGTAGAATAATGAGCATTCCTACCAATGCAACCAGAAAATTTATGGGCAAATAGTTGTTTGAAGGGGTAATAGCTGAAAATGTGTCAACTCCTCCTTTCAAATGTTCAGACATGCCTTTGGCTGTGCCACCACATCCAAATCTGTTGTTCTCCTGCTGGTTTTGGAGTGAGAATTTATGTTTTGTTTGTGCCCTCCAAGCTGCTGAGGGTTTGTATAAAAAGAAAAAAAAAGAGTTGTAAGAATTAGGTGCTTCTGGTTTTCTACCTTTTATCCCCCAAATGAGGAGAGGTGTAGGCTGTTTGCAGCCACTTTTCCCTGTCTGTGATTGCACTAACAGAAGCTTTCCTTGATGTTGCTCTCTTCCTACAGAGCCTCACTGGGTTGAAAAGGGCTCATTTTAGGGAAGATAAATTTGGTGACTCTTCCTGGGTTAATTAATTTCCAGTTCTGTTTTGGTGACAAGGTGTGCATGTGAGGTGTGGGGGCTGTCCCAGCAGGGTGGCTTTGGTTCTCCTGGTGTTGGCAGCACTGCCTGTGGGTTTGGTTAGGGATTTTCAGCCCTTTGAACTTTTGCTACTGTTTCAAGTCCATTTTTTAATGTAAAGACTTAAGAGAGGTTTGAGTAAAATGATTTTTGGGACAACAGAAAGGATACTGGGATTCTGCCTGTTTACAACTCCATATTCACACCTTTAAGGGACATTAGCCCCTTGAGTAAAGTTCTTTGGCTTTTCTGCCCAGGATTAGTGTGGCAGTTTGGTTGTGTTCAGGGGCTGTTTGGTTGTGTTCAGGGGCTGTTTGGTTGTGTTCAGGGGCTGTTTGGTTGTGTTCAGGGGCTGTTTGGTTGTG